ATCAATTCAAGATGCTTTAAATCATATTTGTTTCCTCTCTCCATCTTTTTCATTTAATTTTTGTACTTTCTTTTTCTTTACTTTTTTGCACTTAACTTTTGTTTTTCTAGTTTTTGTTTTGCTTTTACTATTGTAATGTGTTTTTAATCATTTTTAATATTTGATTCACTAATTAAAACTTATTTTCTATGATTTAGATTTTATTCTTGATTATTTTAATCATTTATAATTCATTATAATCAATGTAATTAAAATTATTTGATTAAATATCTCATATTGCATCACAAATCCATTTATAGGTTTTTGTGATTAATTGATTTAGAGATTATGTTCTGTCTTTTTTCAATTGGATTATAAATATTTAGAACTTTTGTGGATCTATATTGTGATTGTACGTAGGTCTAAAAACGAATGACAATAAAAAGAATAAGTTTATGATCAGATAATTGACCATTGCTTTTATAGTTTTCAATTCTATTTTTATTACATTTTGTTAGATTCGATTACTATTTTTACACGGTTTCGGTTATTGATTTTCTTTAAGATGTTTTCCTAGAATTATATTTAAATGCTTTCTTTATTGTTTTCACTTTATATCTTTCATTTACTTTATTGCACTTTAATGTTTTGTTACATATTTTAATAGTTTATGTTTATTGTTTTCTTTTAATGCTTTCATTATTGCTTTTCTTAGGTTTAATTTATTGGTTTTCATTAAAATCATAGTTTTACGTGTTTTTTTTACTATTTTTACACAAAAACACTTAAACCCCCCTTTTTCCTAACTTGTAATACTTGAAGGTTAAGGCTTACAATAAACTATCATTACTCCTCAAGGACACAATCTAGGTTAACCTTAGTATTGTATTATATTTTTGTTATGCAATGTTTAATCACATATAGGGGACAAAATGTGTAATGATCAACAATGACGTATAAGGAGTGAACATTGAAGTTGTCAAATGTCCAATAAACAACAATTGACCAATTGGATATGCCAAACATGTATTGAAATAATGAAGGAATACATGTGGTGTTGACTCAATTGCGAACTATAATAAACTTATCAAAATGTAGCCAAATGTGGATGTAAGAAAAAAGGAATGTAAGAAAAAATAATATACCTCACTTTCCAAGTTGTGGCAAGCGTTGTCAATAGATTGACAATGATGTAACATCATTATGTTATCCACCCTAGTACTTTCCAACATATCTTAAAACCAAACATAAGATCTTAAGACATTAGACCATTTTTATTTTGAGAAATATCCTTTAATACAACGATTTATCTAATCATAACTAGTGTGGTATGCTAAGCCACCCTTAGCCCTCTCCACATCCATCTCGTTTTTATTTCCTACATCTCTTTTGACCTTAAAAGCTCACACCTTCGGCATTCACTATAGTAAAACAACTCACTTGAGACCCTAACTTATTACTATCACATTCCAAACGATCTTCAGTCATAACCTCATCGACCCACACCATATGCCCACTTGATGACCTCTCGTAGTTAGAAGAAGACAATAAAGAAAATGAAGACGTGATTACCTTGATAAGAAAATGTAGACCCCAAATCTTGTCCGGCCTCATAATAAAGACCAGAAGACCTCCTATTCGAAGATGGATGAAACCTAAGAAACCACTAGGAGAGACTATTAGGCCTCATACTATGATAGGAAGGATTTTCTGCATTAAAATAAGGATTTTCGCCTTCAGGGATCGAGACCGCCGTCTCATTTGGCGAGACGGCCTTCTCGCCATTTTTGCAAGGCGAGACGACCGTCTCGACCTTGTCGGACGAGACAATCATCTCGACCTGACAGACGCGAATCCCTATAAATAGCGAGCACTCCCCCCTCATTTCACACAATTCTTCCACTTTTCCTTCTACCACTTCTTCAAATTCTCTTCCTAGAACCCCTCCGAAGCATTTCCGGAGTTTTTGAGAGTTTCTTAGAGATTTTTATAGCGTTTCCGAGAGATTTCCGGCGTTGTACAGAGCGAAGGGCTGACAAAACGCACCCTAATTTTCAAGAGTATTAATAGAAAGCTTGCCTCGGAGGTTTCTTCATTCTCCCTCTCTCTCTCTTACTGTTTTTATTTCTATGATTAAATTGCATGATAGACATTAGGGTCATGTAGTCATTATTTTAATTTTGTTAATAAAAGGGTAAAAGCGTCTTTTCAAAAAGTTTATTTATAAAATAGCTGGCCTATCATAAGGAACCCGAAAGGGGTGTCGTAAGAGAACTAACACTTCCCTTACACGTAATTGACTCCCTTACCTAACTCTGGTTTTAATGACCAAAGTTGGTTTTCGAAAACCAACGCCTTTTTACTCATTTTTCAATGTTTCCGGTAAAAACATCGGTGGCGACTCCATAAGAACCCTTCAAAATTAGTTCTTGGGTTAGCCCGGTTATCGGACAATCCAAGAACACTTTCTCGAAAACCTCGCCCTTAGGTTCAGCCGGTTATCGGACAACCTAAAGGCGTTGTAACCACACCCATAAAAACGCAAAAATTGGAAAGTCGGAACCATCGCGTCGCGCCGACCGCTTCTTTTTGACGGTGACGACAGTAAAAGAAGTTATACAATTACTTGTTGGAGTAAATATTTTCATTATCAACGATTTGGACATAATGTCTCATCACCAATTATTTTATAAGCAAATACAATAAATAAAAAAACAAAGGATTACTTACATTCTCCGCTTTGAGAACATATTAAATCCAATGCTCATTAATCAATTACGCTTCCAATTCCTTAAAAAATGTCAAATTAATAAAGTTCACCAAAATTTTGTCAGTCATATAATTTTGAAAACTATAAACCAAATAGATAATATATTTATTTTCTTTAAGACCCTTCGTCTCCTTATTAACATCTTTCGGCTTATATATTACACCACCTGAACTAATTTTGGATAAAAGAAAAATGATAATTTTCTTTCAAAATGATAGACTCTTCATTACCAGAAGCGTCTCCAATTTAGGGGACTAATGTATCGAATAAGTCTCGACATAATATGATACCATGTAAAAGAAAGGAGTCATTGACCTAATGAGAAATCATTTTTTTTAACTTCTTATAATTATATAGGTTTCAAAGTATATTCATGTGTCGACTTTTCTAAAAGAATATACATTGACAAAGTCATCAAATGAATTATTTAAGAATATAATCTTTGATTTGTCTTTTCTATCAAATTATGATAGTCTTTTAAATATAACATGACTAATTTTCTTGAATGTAATGTCATAAAAAACTTCATCAATATAATTTATAATAAAAAAATAAAATTAAATACTATTCATATATCATTTATTTCATTTAACCATTAAAATTTATAAGATTGAAAAAAATTAATTTGTAAACCAATTTTTCAATGATTCTCTTCCTCATAAATTAATACAACTATCTTATACATAACTTATTAGTATTAAGGCATTTAAGGTGAAAAAATATATTATTTATTAGAGTTAGCAAAATATAGGTGAAATTGATCAAACATTTATTTAACTTTTGTGAATATAATACATGGATTATTATTAGAAAATAATAAAGAAGAAAAATATAAAAAAATACTTAAATTTTATTATATATTTTTTAATATTATAACTCATTGCATGGAAATTAATGTCTTATGTTTCAATCGTGCAAGCATCTAAAACATTTAATAAACTTGTATTATGATAAAAAGAGAGAACTATGACACAAAATAGAAATGAATATTTACCTTGGCCGCATTGTTGGACTTTTTTTGTAAAAAATTTGTTTTCATGGAGTAAGAATACTAATAAAGGTGACTTATATAATAGATTACTTAATCTTATAAATTATATTTAAATAATAATTTATAATTTTGTATTCATTATGAAGTACTCATATTTCACCATGTAGATATAAAATATTTAGATAATCAATTATAAGAAACACATGGTATTTTAAAGGATGAATCATGATTATAAAACAAGTGATAGGTATTTTAGAGGTATATTTAAATTAACTTTTTTTATTGATATATCTTGCACCAAACTTTATACTTATATTTCTAGATTTTGTTAACCAAGTCTAGAAGTACAAACAAGTAGGATTTGGACCCAATTGGGTGGACAAAAATCTACACTTAGACATCACTTTCATTGGAAGAATTAGTAACTATATTTCTTCCATGTATAGGATAAATATAAGACCATTAGAGGAAACTATCAACTCTCATGATACACAATTTTTGTCAGTTCATTGATATTTCTTACACCAAACTTTACACTTACAATTCCAAATTTTTCTTAAGACCCATAAGTCTGAAAGTGAGTCTAACATGTAAAGTTTACTATTTAATATTTTAAAATTTTTGTATTTTCTTTATAAGAACTTGTAAGCTCATGATGTTAGGTAGAGTTCTTCCCATAGCCTCCCTCTCCTCTCTCACTCTTCCGAATTTTCCTCTTCTCTCTACTTTTCCTACTCTTATGTAAATTTTATATACAATCAATAAGAAAATCATTTTCTGGTTAGATTATTGCATGAAAAAAATTCAACCAAATATTATATTTTAATATCATTAATAAAAATACAATTTAAAAAATAAAAATATCTTTTATTAAATTTATTCTTTTAATTGAACGTTAAAAAGAAACAATTTTAAAAAATTAATTATAAAACTGTATTTAAACAAATTTGTAGTTTTTGAAAACATAAAAACAAAATTTATGGACAGGAGACAAGAGTAGAAGTAGCCAATGTTATTATACCAGTCAAAACAAAATTAATAGAAAAAATTGTGCTATATCGTAATTTTATTCAAATAAAATAATTCTCCATGAAAAAAATCCTGACCATTGATCCCATCGCATTCCATCACACTTTTTTTTATGTGTAAGAACGAAAGCAAAGCATGTCCTTTGCCTATAGAACTCTCTAGAACCCCTCGCTCACTAGCAAGACTGAAAGCCCACACTCTCTTCTTACTCTCGGCGGTGTGAGTGAAGCGATGGAAGAAGAGTTCGATATTCCCGGTGGCGAGGAAATGGATCTCGGCGAAGACAAGGTTGGCGAGGAGAGGGAGATCGGCTCCGACGGCCTCAAGAAGAAGCTCCTCAAGGAAGGTCAAGGCTGGGAAACCCCCGAAGTAGGCGACGAAGTTCAAGGTCCAACCCAAACAACATCAACTCCTCTGTCGTTTTCACCTTTCCAATTCTTACTCATTTTTTTTTTTTTAATTTGTAGTTCATTACACCGGGACTTTGCTCGATGGAACGAAGTTCGATTCAAGCCGCGACAGGGGTTCTCCTTTCAGCTTCACGCTCGGACAAGGTCTGTTATCTTATCTCGCTATCGTTACCTTGAATTTAGTGTGTTTTTAATTTGCTTGCTGAACGTTGGAAAATGATAGTGGAATTCTAGGGCGTGCAATTTTGCATGATTAACTCCTTTTTACTTGTTTAAGCAATCGTTTGTTCTGTTCTGTGTTGGATTTTTTTTTTTTTTGTGCTACCCGGGTTTATTGTTGCTTTAACTGACTGATTAAGTAAGGCATGTTTGGATTGAGACAACTATTACTATGCTTTGTCTCTCCGTTTTACAAATATAAATAAGTAAAGAAAGTGTTGCCTAGTTTTTTATTTATTTCCACTTTTCGGAGATATGTACGGAAAATGGTGAATTTTGTTTTCACCATTTCTTGTACGATGCTTTGAAAGCAGGAAATTAAGTTAAAATTTTGGTATTTTTTGTGTATATATATATATATATCTGTGTGTGTGTGTGTTTGTGTATTTAAATAGGAACTGAATATAGAATAAGGTGCCCTCAAACCAAATACGTTCGTAGTCATTTGACCTTTTCTTGATATATCATATATCATAATTTTGATGAGTTGTGTATTTCCAAATCATATGAAGCGGTGCATTATAATATTTCTGTTCTGTTATGTAGGATTGATATACTCTGTATTGTTAGCAGTCGTTGTGACTATTAGAATAGAAATTCAAAATACATTTATTTTTATATTTTTACTGATATTTTAATGTGTTACACTTTTACACCTAAATTGATGCCAAACAAGTATGTGATATAAATTGAAGTAGAGAATTTGTCTTTGTAGAGTTTTAAGCGAGTAAAACTTATGGATGAATAGTTTTTCATATGGTGATCAGTATTTTGTAGGCCTTCTTTGTGGTGTGTCTCAAGCTTTCCTAGATATTCTTTGGATACAATGGTAACTTGCATTGAAACTTAAACTCAACTTCTGTTTGGTTCATGTTAATGTTTGAATTGAAATAAACTGTATGCTTAACCCTGTGAGGGAAAATGGCTTCAAAGTAATCTTTAGACACATGTCAAATATAACTACGTGACATCTTGGTTGGAACTGCAGGGCAAGTAATTAAAGGATGGGATGAAGGTATCAAAACAATGAAGAAAGGTGAAAATGCTATTTTCACCATCCCTCCTGAGCTAGCATATGGTGAATCTGGTTCCCCTCCAACAATTCCTCCTAATGCTACACTCCAATTTGATGTTGAGCTACTTTCATGGAGTAGTGTAAAGGACATATGCAAGGATGGTGGTATATACAAGAAGATACTTATCGAGGGAGATAAATGGGAGAACCCTAAGGATCCTGATGAAGTATTGGGTATATATATGTCCAATTTAACTGTGTTTATGTGATGCGTATGTTAACTACTTTAATCTTAACTAATTGTTGAACTTGTTGGTAATGCAGTTAAATATGAAGCTCATCTGGAAAATGGAAAGCTTGTAGGAAAGTCTGATGGAGTGGAGTTCACAGTCAGAGAGGGTCAGTGCCTTTCATACTTAGTTAGCAGATTATCATTTTGTTTTACTGAGTATCTGAAGTTAATGTTTATCCATGATAGGTCATTATTGTCCTGCATTGTCAAAGGCCATTAAAACCATGAAGAAAGGAGAAAAAGTGGTTTTGACAGTTAAGCCACAATGTAAGTTTTCTAAGCTCTACTGAATATTTTGGTGATTAGCTATGACTAACATTCTTCGTGATATTTTCTTTCTCTTTTTTCTTACTTGAAGTTTTGTTCATTTTTTTGTTGGGTCATAGATGGATTTGGTGAAAAGGGAAAGCCAGCACAGGGTGATGAAGTTGCTGTTCCACCAAATGCAACATTGCAGATTACTCTTGAATTAGTTTCTTGGAAAACTGTTTCAGAAGTAACTAATGATAAGGTCATAAAGAAAATTATCAAGGAAGGGGAAGGATATGAGCGTCCAAATGAGGGGGCCAGTGTGAAAGGTAATAACTTATTATATTGCTACATATATTTATTTATGCCTTTGATGCATTGTTTCTGACTAATCTTGGTCAATTTATGTTTCAGTGAAACTAATTGGAAAGCTTCAAGATGGTACTACCTTTTTGAGAAAGGGCCATGATGAAGAAGAGAAGCTGTTTGAATTCAAAACAGATGAGGGTAACTTGAATTCTGCTAGTGTCCTCATTCCTCTGCATGCACTATATATTTTATGTTTTGGTCAATGAAGTGATTGTTTGATGTGTTTAACAGAACAAGTTGTTGATGGACTTGATAGAGCTGTATTGACTATGAAGAAGGGTGAGGTTGCATTGTTGACCATTGCACCTGAGTATGCTTTTGGTCCATCAGAGTCTCAGCAGGAGTTGGCTGTGATTCCTCCAAACTCAATTGTGTATTTTGAAGTTGAGCTTGTGTCATTTGAGAAAGTAAGTTAGTAACAGTGTTGAATTGGTACTGCCCATTGATTTTATCAATGTTTTAATTTTGATAAAAAGAAATTCTGAATTTATTATTAAAAAGCAAGCAACCTTACATCCTTAACTGCAATGTAACAAAGAACTGGTCAAGACTGGATGGAAAGCTAGATAACTTATGCTTTAGTGTTTTACCCAAACCCACAACATTGAATTGTCTTATTTTATTCTGTGTCGATCTTTTGAATCCAATTCAACCATTTTTCCAATCCAATTTGTGTTCATTTGTGTGTACATTTATTTCTATTCATTCATTATAAATAGTATATAACTGAATCATCTTGCAAGTCTATTTCTGTCTGATAATGGTTGATTTTGTACACTCTATAACTTCAAATAAAAACCAGTTTTCCGAGTGTAGGTAGATCAGAGCAGTTGTCAAAGTATTTCCTTTAACTTCTTTATCTTATTCCACGAAATTGCTGATTTTTTGCTCACTATGAAGAGTAGTGATTTGGAAGTCAGAGTCTTATGATTTGTTGTCATTCCTTACATTTGCACAGTTGTTCATTATAATACATTGGATTATATATTTAGGCAGGTTTATATCTAGATATCTCGATCTGTTTTCTACCTACAGGAGAAAGAGTCCTGGGATCTGAACAATGAAGAGAAACTTGAAGCTGCTGCTAAGAAGAAAGAAGAAGGAAATGTGTTGTTTAAAGCTGGTAAATATGCAAGAGCTTCCAAAAGATATGAAAAGGTAATCCAAGATGGACTATACAATTGTTCACCCTCTACATGTTCATACACCTTCTGATGGTACTGAAAACATATCGGTCGTAGGCTGTGAAGTACGTAGAATATGATACCTCCTTTGGAGAGGAGGAGAAAAAGATGGCAAAGACCTTGAAGGTTGCCTGTAATCTGAACAATGCTGCTTGCAAGTTGAAGTTAAAAGACTATAAAGAAGCAGAAAAATTGTGTACCAAGGTACTGTTATTCTGTCTACCTCCTTTGGGAATCATCAACTTAGCCTTTTACATAAAAATAATGACTTTTGGCTGGATAGGTGTTAGACCTTGAGAGTACAAACGTGAAAGCCCTTTATAGAAGGGCCCAAGCATATATGCAGCTGAGTGACTTGGATTTGGCTGAACTTGACATTAAAAAGGCTCTTGAAATTGACCCTAACAACAGGTATATGATCAGACTATTGATTTTGACCTTCATGGATTATTTGATATTTACTAAGATGAGTTACTTCTTGAACCAGAGATCTCAAATTGGAGTACAAGACTCTGAAGGCAAAGGTGAAAGAGAATAATAGAAAGGAGGCGAAATTTTATGGAAATATAATCACTAAGTTGACAAAGATTGGTTCCTGATAGAAATGTTACTAATTCATCATGATTTTTATGGTATGCTCCCTCACTTTGAGATCAATAAAAACATAAATTTATCCTGTGATGATATACTATTACTTTTGGCATGCAGAAATCAACTGTCAGCGGAATTGAATTTGCGGTACTCACGAATTATCCAAAATAGAACATGTAAAAGTTTAGGTTTTTTTAGGGATCGAATAGAAGTTTGGTTCCCAGGGATTTGATTATTGTGTATGAGATGTGTGTATTAGAAAAAATTTGTTGAATATTTATTTCTGATTTATTATTGAAAGTTAACATAATTGACTTAATTACATGTTCTTAATGAAATGATTAATATGTCAACTACCGGGAGAAATGCATTGAAACATGGATTACGTGAAAAAAAAAATTAAAATAAAGTTTTTTTTAATATTTATTTATGAAAATGACTTGAGAGTTTTCAGTGAGAATATATTATGTGCACTATTTGATTTTAAACAAACTATTAAGTATTCAATTAATAAATAAATATAATTGAACTTGGTTTATTTTCTCATTATTACCTCTTAGTTCTAAATTGATATAAGTAATTGCATGAAAAATAAGAACTTCTCCTATTACTGAAATAATCAGGAGGGAAATTACGTTGCGTGTTCCATTATTGAGTCTTCATTTTATGCTGATCGTTGTTTTATTTGTTTTTGTAAAATCTTTGACTAGTCATATTTTCTTGTATGTTTGTTTCGTTTTGTTCACGGTTCTCTCAATAACTTCTATTAATATTGATAAATTTGCTGTCAAATCAGGTGTATTTACTGTTAAATTAGGTTACAGATGTCAAAAAAAGAAAAAAAAAAACTTACAGTGTTACTTTAGGGTTTATTTGCGTAATTAAATAAAATTACCGAAAATATAAGACGAAATGTAATTAAGTCTATATTACATGATGTTTAACATTGTACCACAAGTGCCTCTAACCTTCTAAAATTCACCTAGTCACGAGCGTTCAAATAGAAGCTGATCTGATAGGAATGTCAGGTTATTTAATATTTAATGAAAAATTAGTAGACTAATTATTTAATTAACTTGAGTGTTGGAGTATCTTTGCAGGTGAGTTTGTGGATGTATAGATCCAAGTGATCAAATGAAGTGATGAGATTGGAGATGGAGATCCGCAATGAGAAGGTGAACGACTTGACCAAAAGACATATGACTTTATAAGAACATAATTGACATCTACTGTGGAGCTGAGTAGAAAGACGACCAATGGTATCCATAATAAATGCGGACAGATAAAATTCACCCGAAAGATGAGAAGAGTGAAGCGACTCTCTTGGTTGAATTAAGAAAGTAGCTCGAGAACTTTAAGAAAGAAAGCTCGAAGGAGATATTAGTCATAAGGAGATATTGGAAGAAGAGAAGTTGTGATTTTCCAAAATTTTATAATTTACGTTAGTATTTATGATTTTTGTTTTTCATTATTTTTAAAGTTTTATAATTTTAATTAGTATTTATGATTTTGGTTCTTTTAAATTTAATAATTATTAAATATACATAATTATATATTTATAAATTTGATCTTTTATCTTTTTATATATATTTTTTTATATTTTTATTTATTATATATTAATAATATATTATTTGATCTTTTTAAAATGAATGATTAAGATTCGTTATTACTGACGAACATATAAATGTTTATGAAACCTAGATGAATTTATATATCACAGACGACGTTATATAATGTCGAGTGGTCTTGACCTTATTGAGAGGTGTGACATTAAATTGGTTCATTAGACTTTTTCTGTATTTGGTCGATTGCTTTAAGACATTAATAGAAAAATTCGGAACTTAGTTTGCCACGAGTTGACTGCACTATCTCACATTAATAGTCTTTGGACTTTCATGGAAAGATTTGGTGATGAGTCTCTAGTTGTACCACAGACGAGAGAGGTCATTTCTAGGAGGAGGATAGTTTCAGGCGAAGGACCTCACACAGAAGATGAAAAACTTGCAAAACAACCTAACTATTAGGATGAAGTTGCGTAGACGCAATGTTAAGCGCACAGAAAATGCCCACAGTAAACTCATCGAAAGGGAGTCACATGTGTATATATGTGAACAAGCAAACATACATATAGAAATGCTCTTCAACATCCTCTCCACCATGACATATGTTATCCATGGCCCCGCAAGACGAAGGACCACCATGGTGTCAGATGCACCCTCCGACAACAAGTCCTGATATTCAATAAAAGATTTTAATAAACTCGGTCACTGGTACTTCGAATAATAAATTTGAACCTGGGAATCCACCTAATCATATCATTGCCGCCATTTCAGCATCTGCCCATACATATTTTTTTTTATGTTTTGAATTGTTTATTTTGAATATATTTCCGGATTGCCCCCTTTCATAAATCTTTCACAAATATTATTCTAAGGTATATTTTACCTCCGGGATTCATATTGTCCTTTTAACATATGACGATACAGATTACAAGAAGAAAATTTGTTTATTTGGACTCTAGTATATTTGTTATAATTTTTTCTTAAAAAAATTAGAAGTGTTTATAACAAGTAATTATCTATTTTAATTTAAATTATATGTAATATAAAGAAATAACATGTTAATAATATGTTGATCAATTCTTGAAGTATTGAAGAGATAGTTGATTATGTGAGGACTTCATGTACTTTACACCAAAATTCACCTTATTTTTAACAATTTTGATTTTTGGAATAAATAAAGAGAAAATTTCTAAAATATTTGATACACATAAACTACAAATTAGGAGAGAAGAAAAAATAGATAACTCATTATATCATGTATTTTATGTATAACCTTGAGGTTAATTATATCCTACACTACAAAAAAAAGAAAAATAGAATTAAGGAGGGTATATATTTTTAAACACTTCCACGAAAATGTATAATTTTGAAGTTAATTTTATATTACATTAGAAAAAAGAAAAAGAAAAAAAAAACAGAAATCAACATGTATATCTTCCTAATCACTTTGTACAATAACAAATTTTGTTTTTATTTTACATGATCATATCCTCTTAAATGATTTTAATCAACTTTTGATGAAATATTTACTTTCACTTAAAACCTCTTAATATATTTAATGTATCATTTATTTTTTGTGCTATTTGATAATATTGAAAAATAAGAGTATTGCAAAAGAATCGATCTTTCGTTTTGAGGTACTTCTTCAATTTCGAATGATATCTTCTTGAATGTTGTAGATATGCAATCTCTTTGTTTTAGTGTATTCTTTGAATCACGACAAATGTGCATCCACAAGTCATGGAACGATGAGTTCCTCCGTGGGTCTAGCTCACCTATAAATGAATCCTTCTTTCTCCTCCCACTACTACAAAATATGCTTTCAACGTCGCCATTTAACGTCGGTTAAAGTCGAGCCGACGTTAAATACACTTTCAACGTCCGTTGGTTAAAAAACGACGTTGAAAGTTGAATGTTGGACACTTTTAACGTCGGTTCTAGATGAACCGACGTTGAATGTCATTTTATTGACACATTCAACGTCGGTTCTAGATGAACCGACGTTGAATGTGTTTTCACCAAAAATTCTTTTAAGTTAGAGAATTGTCATCGACAGGGTTCAAACCCGAGTACTTTAGAGTTGAATGTTGATACTTCAACCACTAAACTACTCGTAATTTTCTCGATAATAACTTACAAATTAATTATATTTATATACAAATAAATATATATTACGTGTAAATATATATTTATTTATATTTTCTGGAAAGTGATTTTATTTTTTTCGACCAAAAATTCACTTAAGTTAGAGAATTGTCATCGACAGGATTCGAACCCGAGTATTTTAAAATTGAAAGCTAATACTCCAACCACTAAACTACTGTAATTTTCTCGATAATAATTTACAAATAAATTATATTTATATACAAATAAATATCAGTGTAAATATATATTTATTTATATATATTTTCTGGAAAGTATTTTTATTTTTTTCATAAAAAATTCACTTAAGTTAGAGAATTGTCACTGATAGGATTCGAATATAGTATTTTATAGAGTTGAAAATTGATACTCCAACCACTAAACTACTATAATTTTTTGATAATAATTTACAAATAAATTATATTTATATACAAATAAATATATATCCGTGTAAATATATAAATATAGAATATATAAATACAAATATATTTATATATTTTGATATATTTATATATTTTTATGTTGGATGTGAGGGCGCGATCGAGGGTGAAAGTGAGATTGACTCTCGCTTAAGTGAAAATACGTTAAAGCTCACGAAATTCACTCGTTCAAGCCTAGCTTGAGCGAAAATTGGTATTTTTCGCTTGAGCGAATGTGTCACTTGAGCGAATGATGCGTTTCCCAAATTTATTTTATATCATTATATAAATAAATTATAAATATTATATTCCGTCATTAAATTACAAACCCATATAAAGAGACTCGCTCACAAATTTGGCATCAAATTTTGAAAACCCACTCGACACACACTTTCACCTTCGAGCGTGCCCTCACATCCAATATATAAATATATAATTATTTAAATATATCAAAATATATAAATATATTTGTATTTATATATTTACACGGATATATATTTATTTGTATATAAATATAATTTATTTGTAAGTTACTATCAAAAAATTCGAGTAGTTTAGTGGTTGGAGTATCGACCTCCAACACTAAGGTACTCGGGTTCGAATCCTGTCAGTGACAAAAAAATAATTTGGTAATGCTTTAAACTTTAAAAAAATATGATAAATAATAAAAATATAATATAAAAGAGAGAGGGGGGATTTCTAGATAAATAGAGGAGGGGTTTGGAAATAAATAAAAAAATTTGATTTGAAAAATAATACTTTCAACGTCGCCTGATACAAGTTGAAGGCCTTCCAGAACCGACGTTGAAGGCCTTATTTGTAGTAGTGTCCGGAAACACACTTCACTTCCTCTCATCTTCTTTTCCATTCACTTTTTTTAGATCTTGGGTTCTCTATTCTTTTAAAATTATTTTTTGCTAGTTCTAAGTTCCTCGAAAATATCCAAGAAGTTCTTGTTATTTCTTGAGGGTTTGTGCAAGATACACGTCATAAGAATCAAGTTTTGTTCATGTTTTCAACAACTTTTACAATTATCTTAAGGACTTATTATTGACATTATGAACACCAACTCTATACTAGAGAAGTCAAACAATGTTTACAGAACTCAAACTATCTTTGTGAAACCTTTCCAAGATATTTCAAAATCGAAGTTTTCTCTGGACAAAACTTCTAATGCTGGTAGGAGTGCGTATCTACTCTATTAGTCATGTATGAAGTTGTTTCTACTCTTACAACTATCAAACCTGACTCTAGTACTCCTGTAAAACAATTTGAATATTGGATTCATGAGCATGGTATGCTGACACAATTTGCTTAGTGCATTATCTAATGATTTGTTCAATGTGTACTACTCCTATAAGGAAACCAAAGATATTTAAGATTCGTTAATTCTCAAATATACTAACAAAGATGTTGTTATACAAAGATTCATCATAAGAAACTATTATCACTAAGAGATGATAGAAGATAAAGACATCAAGATCCAGATTAACGAGTATTATAAACTACTTGAAGATATTAAAACATAAAACATAGTCCTACTTAATGAGTTTATTTAAAAAACTATGATCAAAATGTTTTTGCAATCTTGAACTAATTACAAACAATAGCTAAAACATAAACATAAATAGATGTCACTACCCAACTTTATAACATGATCACAAAAGAAGAACTAAATTTAAAACTTCTCGTCCAAATGGATCTAACCCTACCTTTAAGAAAAAGGAACTTGCTTTATCTATGGAAAGTCAAAAGCATCATGCACCTCAGACATAGAGTTAGAAATGATAATCCTTGTAAGGAAAATAAAATTGAAGAGGAAGTGTGTTTTCCACCTACACTAGCGTGGGAGATAGAGAATAATATGTTTATCTCGATGATTTCAGAAAAATTCTTATCTTAGAAAAAGAAAAAGTTATTTTAAAACTCATATGAGAATACTCTTTCCTTAAACGATATGTTACATGTGTCATCAATTAGAGTTAATTTAATCTCTATAGCACTACTGAAAAAAGTTGGGGTTAGAGTGTCATTTGAATATAATAAGATTGTTATGATATAAAATAATATGATTGTGGAGAAAGGATATTGTAATCAAAATTTTGTTGTACGTAACATTTCTGAAGTTGTTAATAAATCTAAGTCTTCTTATATTGTTATCCGTATGATGTGTGACATGCTAGACTAGGTAATGTAAATTCTTTATATGTTATGAAATTTCAACGTAATGTAAATTTTTTATATGTTATGAAATTGCAACAATTCTAATAAATTAATATGTATGATAAATAAATTAAGAAGAGTGACCAAGAAAAATAGTTTGTTACTCATAACGTAAAATCAATTCTTCATTTTCCTATATGTAATCTTATAAATGCCCATTTTACCTCTATCACAAACATGATTACCATTAAAAAAAATATTATAATTTAATCATAAACAAATACTATTATAAATATCAATAATTTTTTAATAAATACTCATCTTTATTAAAATAATATAACTCAACCTTAAATTAATTAAAAATGTGTGGGCATGAAACTATTTGGATTACAGGATATTAGGAAACAAATTAAGAAAAAAACTAAAGAATAATACAAATTAAAACAATATTCGCAGATATCATTTAAAAGATTTATAAAATTATGATGACAATGTTTTGACACAATTGAAGCAATTGAAAATTATATTTATTTAAAAAAAACACTTATTTATAAAACGACTTTAAAATGAAAGATCATTTTTTCTTTAAAATATATTTTTAGGATTAAGTATTTAAATTTAGGATTTTTTTTCTAAAATCTGTGTTTATAACTTATTACAATAAAAAAAATAAGTCGTACATTATTTAATGTCATAAAATAAATTAATATGCTAAAGTTTGACGAGAAGGTTGATATATTTAACGTATATGAGAGAACTTTTTTTACTAATAAATGTTATTAACATTTTTTCATACTATTAAAAAAAATAATATGTTAATGCAGTTACATATCTTTTAATGTGTTCACTATTATAAATTCTCATATGAAAATATTTTTATAAAAATTACGAAAATAGTTTCTTATAAATATAAATAATTTTTTTTAAATTGTAAAAAATAATTAACTTTTTAATAGTGATTTAAAACTAACATTTGAAAAAATATTTTTATATTCAGAAAACTTAAATATATATATATATATATATATATATATATATATATATATATATATATATATTAAAATGGTGATTTTGGTGGATGGTTACATTTTATTGGAACATATATTTTAAATTATTTTTTTAAATATACAAATAAAATTAAAATTTTATTAATTAAAATATGTTTTTAGTTTATCAAACCAATTGTATTAGTTACAATATTTTTTCTTTATTTTTTACTATCTTTTTCTTATTGAAACAATTTTATTTTAATTTTTTTCCCTCAAATTCACTTCTCCAAATCAATTTTCAAATCCAAACACAAACTTATCACTTTAAGCACGATTGTTTATCTCTACTCCTTTCTAGTCTTTGGACGTTGTTTCTGATATTTGTAGTAGTTTCTAGCTTCAAGTGCATCCGTTGATATGTGTGGATGTTTATCTTTGGTTAGTGATAACATCTTCGATTTACTGGAGTTTTAGAACGTAATATTAATACGTGCCAATATTATTTTTTTTATAAATATTTTGATAGATTAAATATTAATAATTTAACTAATATTTTGAAATTATCAATATGGTAAGAAATTTAATTTAATAAGCATAGATTATATATTGGTCACACACGTACGGTGAATATTCCCTTAGCAGCATAGTTTAACAGTGGAGTGGATGTGAGTTGATTTCAGCAAAGACAGGATGGAGAATAGGACAAAGACCAAATGTTCTACAACATTCACCAAAGAGAGAGGATAAAGATAAAGATAAAGAATAGAACAAAGACAAAATGGTCTACAACATTTAGTAGTTGATTTGCATGTTATACGTGGTTTCAGGCCATGAATTGCATGCAAAGATGTTGCCACGTAGCATGTAACGATGGCATTTGGTCCTGTGAGTTCAAGACATGTATAAAAGGGTGCATATATTTTGAGTGACTGAGCGAGAGTGAGTGAGAAAATGAGTGGCACAGGTGGCGATGCAGTGAGAGGGGTGGTAGTGTGTGATAACAGGTGTGGCTGCACAGTTCCATGCCCCGGTGGTTCTTCTTGCAGGTGCACCAGTGGTGGGACTGCAGCTGGAGGGGGTGATCACATGACGTGCACGTGCGGAGAGCACTGTGGGTGCAATCCATGTTCATGTCCCAAAACTGCAGCCGCTGGAAGTGGATGCAGATGTGGTTCAGAGTGCGCATGTGCCTCTTGCCGCACTTAATATCATACCCTAAACTTTACTTACCGTCTTAGATATGTTGTTAATGTCAACAAATTAGCCTCGTGTCCATGCCCTAATAAATTATAAATAAGAGTCTTGTTTAGTGTTCAAATCAAATTGTGGATGATGCTGCGGTTTCTGTTATGGAATAATAACACGCTGTTCTGTCATGCCCGGTTTGTACTTGAAAACGTCAATAAAAAATAGTTATATGTGAAGAAATAATGGATGTATCCATAAAGTTCCTAACACGGATTTTATGACTGGTATTTGACAGATTTTATAACTGGTAACGAAGCTTGTGATCGTCTCTTTCAAATAAAGTGGTAATTAATATGTGACCCAGATAAGAATTGATAAGTGTGTTTAAATTTTGATATTTAAGATTTTCAAAGAAAGAATTTTAACGAGTTTTGGTATAATAAATGCAAATGAAAGTCTTAAAAGAAGCGAAGTAAATCTATGAAGTACAGTAAATGAAAGTTCTAAAAAGCATTTAAGCATTGAAATTATAAAACTAAAGAAAACATTAAATTTGAACTGAAGAAATTAAATTTGAAATTGAAATTATAAATTATAAAACAGTATTGAATTGAATTAAGAAAAGTGCAATATTATTCTTGATTCTTCAATCAATTTTCATAAATATGTAGGTTGATTTTTTCATAAATATGTAGGTTGATTTTTTTAATAGTTCATATTTTTCAATCATGATTCTTCAATACTTTTATAAATCAAGTTTTGAATCATTTGAGGTTTTGTTTTTTTCAATGAATAATGAAGAGAAAAACAAAGGTAGAAAATAAAAGTAAAAACTAAAATTAAATGGAAGAGATAAGACAGAAGAAATAAATATGATCCAAGAAAAAAACCTAAATCTGACTCTAATATTGACTTTCATAATTGACAGTAAATTTTTTAATATCTTTCCAATAATGTCCTTATCATTTTATTCTCCTTTCTCTACCAAAATTATTAACAATAACTTATCAATAAAGTATCAGTTTCTTCCTCTTCCTTAAAAATAGAAACTTAAGAATGTGAAACATTTATTCATTTTATTAAAAATAAGACTCCCTCAATTTTTTTCAATCTTGAAAATTTTACCACGTTTGAAAACTATAGGAAAATATTTGTTTTCCACCAAAAAAATTTAATAGCACTTGTAGTTTCTATATGTTATATTTTGCATCTTAACTTCAAGAAATCACTATTTTACAAACATGAGAATCAGAATCAAATTTCCATTATCTGTCATAGATCTAAATACTGAAATAACAAGTTCAACTTAATTAAAAATAGATTTCATTTCTTATTTCACTTAATCATCTTATTTTTAATTAGATTCATTACGTTTTCATCTATTTTTTTAAAAGGAAACAAAGTTTATAGATTAACTTGAAGTTATAGTTGAAGAGATGAAAAATAATAAATTATCTTTCATATTATTGGTTAATACAATTTTCAATCCGTAGTATTAGTGCAAGTTACAATTCATTTCAAATTCCATAAAAAATTTGTTTATTAAAACGTCATATATTTTGAAATAGATAGAGTTAAAAAAATACGGTGATATTTTTATTTTTTTTAAATAATAAATGGAGCAAGTTATATATATTTTTTAATCGGATGAGAATTTACGAGTCGATGATGATAGTACCTTTAAGGATATTGTCCCGCCACAAAAATATTGTGCAGTGATTGACGTTTCTATTTGATTAGATTCAATTTTAGACTGTTTTGTGTTCCATGTTTTTTTTTTATGTTTAAATGATTATTTTTTAGAATCTCAAACCTCTTTATTGTATTATTATTAAAACTTAACTATTATTGTTTGAGATTATTTGTTTATTCATTTGAGTGCAATTAGGATTTATATACTATCTCATATCTCATATTGTCATGTTTTTACGGTTTATTTGTTTGAATTTCATGTTTTTTTATACTATCTCATATCTCATATTGTCATGTTTTTACGGTTTATTTGTTTGAATTTCATGTTTTTTTGTTGTTTATATATTATTTCTTTAAAATATGAATATGTGTGTGAATTTTTAGGAGTGACGAAAATTTGTAACATAAGTAGTTATGGACTGGAGTTGAATGAATGCATATTGTATTAGTAAAGAGTACGAAAAGAAAATGGAGGGCTTTTTGTAATTTGTTTGTGAAAATGAAAAACCTATCAAAGAATATATTACTGTCCATGTGTGTTTGAATCAAATTTGTCATGAACATGAGGATAAACGTGATCACTTATTTATTTATGGTATTGTTAAAAGTTATATAATATGGACATGAGATAAAGAAATATTAGATATCTCATCCATGTCAATAATAGAAAATTTGAAAGAAGGGATAAATGATAATTTAGAGGAAATGATATGTGATATTGGTGAAAAAAACAAAAAAAAAACATATCTATATGATTATTTGAAATTTAATTTTGAGCAACAATTGTATCGAGGATGCAACTTTACAAGATTATCAGTAACTTTAAAATTGTTCATTATAAAAGCAAGAAATGAATGAATTAATAAAAATTTTACCGAATTATTGGAGTTGTTGAAAAAGATGTTTTCCGAAGATAACACATTGCCTAACTATTAGACAAAGAAGATACTATGTCCAATGAGTTTAGAGTACAAGAAGATACATACATACCCTAATGATTGCTTATTATACATAAATAATTTTTCTACATTAAAGATGTGTCCAACATGTGAGTTATCACGATTCAAAAACAAAGTTGATAGAAGTAGTGGTGATGATGAAGAAATAAATGTCCCAGCTAAGGTACTATAATAGTTGTCAATAATACCTAGGTTTAAAAGATTATTTACAATAAAAGAAGATGCAAAAAACTTTACATGACATGCGAATGATAAAAAATGTGATAATCTTCTTCGATATCCAACTAATTCTCCATAATGAAAGATGATTGATGAAACATTTTTGGAATTCAGTGCGAAATAAAAAAACTTGAGAATTGGATTAACGACAAATTACATGAATCCTTATGGGAGCTTAAGTAGTAAATATATTTTATTGTCAGTTTTGTTGATCATTTACAATTTGTCTCCTTAGTTATGTATGAACAGAAAATATATTCTATTGTTTATGATGATTTAAGGACTTCAACAATCAGAAAATGACATGAATGTATATCTTATAGTCATTTGATTGATGATTTGAAAATGTTGTGAAAAATAGGAGTAAAGATCTTTAATGCATACCTTGAAGTCAATTTTAGGTTGCATACAAAATATATTTTTCAACATATGGTAATTTGAGCGACTCGAGTGTGAGAAGTCGTTATGCGTGTCTTTATGTTAAAAAGATATAATTTACAGTCATATGCAATATAGACTAAAGACTAAGTACACTAGATATTAAAAATTCCTAGTTTTTAATAATAAAAATTAACCATATTTTTTTAATTGTGTTAATCAATATGGAACAATAAACCTATGACACCAAGATGCTTATTGAGAACCTGGGCAATCTCTCATCAACCAAATGTACAAAGTTTCCTTATTTTAATATTTGGGGGCGAAGTTGTTCCTTCTCTCATTTGCTTCTTCTTCATTTTTTAACTTTTTTTTTTTTTCACTTTTTAACTTGTAAACTTATTTGTAACGTCGGTATAAATAAATAAAAAATATCACGTAAACAACTGTGTAACAAGTGGATGTAAAAATTGAATATACAAGAATAAGGACTAAAAAAATAAATAGATGTTATGTTTCTTCGAATATAATATAAATAAATAAATTATTTTAAATAGAATAATAGAAATGAGTGAATTTTGGAGGTGAGAGAGGTGTTACACTATTTTATTATATATTTCAAAATACCTTTAACATATTTAAGATATGAAGAAAATTGAAATATATTTAGAAAATAAAAATATTTATTTTATTAAAAAATATTTGTATTTCCTATTTCTCTTTTGCTATAATTTTTAAGTATTTTTTAATTTTAATATTCTTTTTAATATTATATTTTTTTTCAACATTTTTTAATATTCATTTATTTATTACTATTACTACTATTATTATTACTATCTTAAATATTTATTAAATGGATTTTGTTGACTCTATGTATAATATGATTTATTATTTATTTTTATCCACTCGTAAGATATGACTTTAGTTTTATTTTACATTAGGTAATTTTTTTTCTTAATTTTTTATAATAAAATATTAACCATGATAAAATAATAATAATAATAAATTTATGATCACTGTTACTATTATTTAGTTACTTTTACATTATATTATTTATTTTAACTATTATACTATTTTAATTATTTATTTTACTATTTTACGATTATACTTTGATGTATTAATATTAATATATGTTGGATTTATTTTATTTTATTATTTTTATTTTTCGTATTATATTAAATTTTTTCTTTTGCTTATATATATATATATATATATATATATACTTTATTATAAACTTGAATAGAAATAATGTAAGATTTAGTATATAAGTTTAATAAATAAATAAAATATGTAATATAAAAATACATATAATTAATATAATTTCTATATATAATATATTATAAGAGTTTAAAATGAATTGAAAATTAAATTATGAATACCTTCAAAATATATTTAACAATAAAAGTTTTACATCTATAAAAAGTATAATATAATTTTTTATATTTTCTTTTTAGTTTATTAGGGTTATTTAAAACTCAACTGATCTAAAATAACAACGCAAAATCAATTAATATTGAGTTTTCATTAGATTTTTTGAATATATTTTTTAAAAAACTTTATTCGTTTATATTTGGAATTATAAATAAAAAAATAAAAAAAGTCATTTTTTATTATATTTAAATATAATATTATATATAAACATGATAAAAATAATTTAAATAATTTATTATATTTAAATATATCATTATATATTTAAAATTAGTTAATATTTAATAAATAAGTTATAAATTAAAATATAATGTTTTAGGTTTAGAATTAATTAGTGATTAATAAATAAGTTAGAATAATGAGATCAGGAACATCAATTAAACAATCATTTATATTAATATAATATGATTAAATAAAAAAATTAAAACTATTATTATATTAATAAATGAAATTGTTAGATAATTATATGATAAAGAGTGAATTATTTATCATTTTTTTCTTTTAATCAACATGTATGACTATATTTCAAAACAACTGTTTTATAGATTCATTATATTTTATTTATATTACATTTTTACTTATTGAAAAATACTATAGCTATTTTTAATTAATATTTTAAATTGTAAAATTACATAATTTGTTTATAAATATTAAAATAATTAAAATCATAAATATAATAATAATACAACAAACATTATATAATATATTTATTAAAAATTTGTATATTATGAAATATTTAATAATTTATAAAAAAATATATTTCAAATTTATATTAATTTGAAAATAAAACTAAATTATATCTGATTTTTATGTTTGATTTAAATTATAATTTTTTAATAAATTTGAAATTGAACTCCATAAACCACGGAAAATCTTGACAAAAGAGAAAAAAAGTCCACTCTCCAATTTGAAAAAGAAAAAGTATTTTATAGCACGTAAGTATATTAAAAGTAAAATAGCATTTAGATAGATGTGGGTTGGAATGGTAAGAAAGAAAGCCCAAGTTAGAGCCCAATTGAGTTACCCAAAAGAATTGCAAAGAGACCGGGTCTGTATCCAACCAGAATTAGGGTTTCATATATAACAAGGTAGTATAGTCAAGGTTTTATCTGAGAGAGGCATTGCTGGAGAAGAAGCTAGAGAGAAATAGGGGAGGGAGAGGGGTGAACTTTATATCAAGATGGGTATGGATCACCATAATCAATGTTTCTTCGGTCCCTCATATCTCAATTGCTGATAATGACTGTGTTGCGAGCAAGTGTCCGTAAAATTTTCTCTCTGATGGACTCTGTTATTGCTTTTCAACAGGTATTTCCAGGGATTCCATGCACAAGAGGCGTGCAACTGGAGGCAAGAAGAAGTCGTGGAGAAAGAAGAGAAAGTAGTGCCCCTTTTTTAACACTTTTTGAATTTGATTTTCTGTTTTAATGTTTACAATTGTTTAGTTTCTTCTTGCATTAGATCTTTGTGTTTAGCACTGATTTATCATTGTTATTGATGTATTGGCCTTAGTTGCAATCTTCTGATCGTTTTAGTGATTTGAATAAGAACGAGAATGGTCGCAAGCTGTGTACATTGGCTTTTTGTATTTTTTTTTTTAATTTAATTGAGGGAGATGATTGATGAATGAGTTCGTAGCTGCCAGATCTAGTTTTAGTCGTCATTAATTAGGAAAATCGAGGATTCAAATGGTTACCGAAGTAGTAATTTAGGTTAAAGTCATGCAAAAGTAATGCTCTTTATTGCTAACATTTGAATGTTATTCGCTTAGAAATTTAGAAATGGTCCTTTGATTCTTGTGTCTTTCAATTAGAGAAACAGCGTAGTAGACCATCAATGTTTTGAAAGATATAATTTCTATTTTACTCTCTATGGTATATCAGTATTCTTGTGTCTGGACGGTGAGGTGCTTTGTGAATTTATCTGGCCATCACCACTTTTGCTTCTTGTATATGACTACATCATTCATGTTTGGAATTTTACGTCTCATTGTTTCTATCCTCCTGCATAAACGGTAATATAACATGTATACTTTTGTTAAAGAAATTTTTTTTCTTCATTATTTAATAATGTCATATCTAACAAAGGGTGTAAGAAGAGAACCACAATGGTGAGAATGAGAAATCCTCTATATAATACAAACTGATTGTAAGAAGAGAGCCACAATGGTTTGATAATAACATACCAGCTACCCAATTTTACTGCAAGCTGAATTTTTATCATTTCTGCATTGTAATATTTTCTTTTAATTTAAATGTTGCTAATATTTTTTTTATGTTTGTAACTTGGTTAGATCTTAATTTCAGTGGAAATTATGTGAACATTTTGTATTATTTATCTTTAATTTTTGACATTTTGTTTGAATATTTTGATGTAGTTATATTCTGATCCCAATTTTACGATATATCTTAAGAATTTTTTTTTTCTGGATTCATATAGGTATGAGCTTGGGCGCCAATCAGCAAACACCAAGTTATCAAGCAACAAGACAATCCGGAGGATTCGTGTTAGAGGTGGAAATGTAAAATGGAGGGCGCTGAGGTTGGATACTGGAAATTATTCGTGGGGTAGTGAAGCAGTTACCCGGAAGACTCGAATTCTAGATGTTGTTTACAATGCCTCAAACAATGAGCTTGTGAGAACTCAGACTCTGGTCAAGAGTGCTATTGTTCAGGTTGATGCTGCACCTTTCAAGCAGTGGTACCTTCAGCACTATGGTGTTGATATCGGCAGAAAAAAGAAAGCAGCATCCAAGAAGGACTCTACTGAGGTGATACTTTTTGGATTGTTTTTATTTATATTTTCCCTTATGATGTATATGTACATATATATATATATATATATTATTTATTTCTTGAATAATATCTCTACTTTTGCCTGTTGAGTGTTTAATATTATTGCGCGAAGATATGTTGAAAGTGAAAGTTAAGTGCATCATAGTTTGTGGTTGGTGGCTTTGATTGCATGTGTTTCACAAGAAACTGTAATTCACAATTGGAATATTGTTTTCTTGATGGGATAAACGTATGATTTCTGGCAATACTTGTATTATTCTTTCTATGAATAAACCTATTTATTTGTGATGGATGGTACAGATGTAAAAGTGTTTCTTGACCCTTTGATGTCAAACTTTCAGGAGGGCGAGGCTGCTGCTGAAGAAACGAAGAAAAGTAACCATGTGCAGAGAAAACTAGAGAAACGCCAGAAAGATCGCGAACTTGATTCCCATATTGAAGAGCAATTTGGTGGTGGCCGATTGTTGGCATGTATTTCTTCTCGCCCTGGACAATGTGGCAGGGCTGATGGGTATGCTTAAACATTTATTTGTCAGATATGTTTGTGCCAACATCATATTATTTGCCGTTTGCTTTTCTTATTTTGTCAGAATTGTGTAGGTACATTCTGGAAGGTAAGGAGCTGGAGTTTTACATGAAGAAACTCCAGAGGAAGAAGGGAAAAGGTGCTACTTAATTTTAGAGTTGTCCCAAGTTTCTATTTGGCTGTAGTTCTTGGAATTTGGAGCAATTCAAGATGATGTATCTTTTTATGACTGTTGGTGGAGATCACCTTTTAGAATGGTGCTATGGGGCATCGTTAGTGTGAACGTTTTTGTTAGTTTAATGCCAATTTCAACGGAAATTTTGTTTGAATTGTCATTCATAATTTTGGAGTCGGGGTGTACGAGGATTTTACCTATTACCATTATTTAGATTTACTGGTTATCCTATAATATTTATTTTTATAATCATAGAAACTTTGATAAATGGTGCATATTTAACTTCACTTTTATGATTTGATTTGATCACCAAAAGATAGAATGAGCTTTTATGCACCGTCCAATGTATGGGTTTGTCAGCCCCCTTCCTATTTACTACTTATGGTCAAATTTATGCTGATAATGTGCAACACACTTCAAAGCGCCTTGCTATTGCAGACTATACAGGTATCTTTTAAATTAAATGAATGATTTTTTAAGATTTTAAGAATTTAAAATAGTATGCTAAAACGAATAGAAAATTTAGAGATTATATTTACAAAATTTAAACTTATTTCCTTTTTAAAAATAGATGTTTTAAAATTATATATTATTTTAATTGATCTTCAAATTTTGTTTTTTGTCCTCTTGTTTAACTCGTTGGCCTATTCATAATGAATTGGTCATAATCAACTCCTCCATTCTCACTTTTCTAGACTACTTTAGATCAGCTCCTTTTGTCCGGCCCAGTCATGATCAATTTGTTTGATCTGATAGGTTCATTGGCTACCTCAGTTCTGTTCAATGACTAGTTGGTCTGGTTAGTTTAATAAATCCTTTTTTTTTTTTGGAAAAATATATAATGGTTTTCGTATAAGTTTATGTACTCTATATTTAAAATGTTACGCAATAATTATTCTAGAATGTATTTTTAAATTTTGAAATATCCAATGAATTTGGATGCATATTATTTATATTTCGAACTTATAATTTTAAAATATATTTGCTTACATTTGGATAGGTTGGCCTGTCTTTCAACTTATTTTAAAAGAAATAAAATATTTTTTTTAGGTATTTAGGTTTAGGATTTCCAGTATGTAAGATTTTTAATTTTTTTTCTAAATAATTTAAATACATATTTATTATTACTATTATTTACTTTATAAATTCAACATTTACTAATAAAAAATTTTATTAAAAAAATTATACTTTAGATTCTTTAATTAGATTTATCAAATTAGATTGCATTTTTCATTTTTTTAATGGATTAAGTAAGACGGGTTAGAATTTTTCAGTCTATTTTCTGTTGGTTGGTCATCCGCACTAATCCATTTCAATTAATTTTATTGAAATACACGTGTGAGTAGAGTAGAAATACATATGTTGGTGAACTATTATGCTTTTGTTTTGATGTCTTGAATTAAATGCATAATAAGAGCTAGGCTAAAAATTATCTTAACAAGGATAAATTTTAGTTGAGCTTTATGTAAAATATAAAAACCACAATAAGGAAATTTTATTATGTTTTTAATGGATATTTATGTGTTTTTAGTTTATATGTATGTAAAGAAATGATGAAAAGACCATCAGATTCCATAGATGTGAGGATTAACACTAAAGATTACTATAAGAAGAATACTATAAAAAAAACATTGATATTTAGATTAAAATGATGAAAATTTGTCATTATTTTTTTTCTATTATCTGATTAAAAATAATTAAATGTTTTTTTAGAGTTTGTTCTCAAAATAATTTATTTATTTTGAAATTGATTATTTTTAACATTTTAATTATTTAGAGTATAAAGTTATATTTTACCAACGTAATAACCATGCATTAATTTTTGAACTAATTTAATTAGTTTAGAAGTAAAAATATTACAAAAATAAATGGTGAAATATTATAATCATCCCCATTTTCTATGGTCAAATAATTGTGAAAATAAATTTTATTGATTATTACTAATTTATACAAAAATTTAAAAAACATAGAATTAAATAAAATAAATTGTTATTTATGTAGTACAAATTAGACTAACATATATTTTTCCAAAATAATAATTTTATTTTCTTAATTTCTTATTTCATTTTCAATATTTCTATGTGCATTATCTATCCCCACTTTAATATATAAATTAAGATCATGAATATTTTTTATTTTATAAATTAAGACAATTCCTTATGAGGTAATTTTATTTTAAATTCTAGTTGTCGAGTGTTTATAGTTTTCATGCATTTTTAATTCAATTCCATAAAATTATTCTATAGGATCTTAAAATTTATGGTTCTCACACATTCACATAAATCATAAATAGGGAGATATTAATCTTGATCAATGAAAGATCCAACAATGTTCTTCGTCTCTATTCTCCAATCTCATTTTTTTAATTTATCTCTTTGTATTTTTTTCTTTTCTCACACTTTCTATAGTTAATAATGAGAAAACCTTATTCTAGAGACAAAATCTTTGCTTTCTTTATATAACTAACTTCCATCAATTTTAGAAGATGACTTTTCATATTATCCACTAAGTTAAAGATAACTTCCATATTATCCACTAATTTTGAAACTTCCCATGACTCACATAATTGAATTAATTTATTTAATACATAAATCATAATGCGCATTAAAAGACCTTACATAAATTACTTCCATCACTATTCATAATTAAAGACACAAAAACAACAAGAGTCATGTTGGTAGATGTCATTCAATCGACATTCTCCCTTCATGTACTACAATATTATCCCTTTCTCCTTAATACGACTTTATAATGAGAAGTCCATAATGAGTTCAAACATAATGTCATTTTCAATAACAATAACATAATTTGTTTTCTTCATTTGCATGAATATACATAAATAAAAAAACATAAATTTCAGAAACTTATACATTAAAGAGTTATGAGTGTCACATAAACATTAATAATAACATTTTCGACATTTACTAATAGACATAATGTCCATATTCTCTACATGCCAACAAAATATTTAGGGTAAACAACCATAAGATCAATGTTTCTTCTTTAACGACAAAGTATTTCAATTTCATATGCTTAAAACCTTTAGAATAATTGTCATTCTTAGAAAAGAAGATTGCTGCAGAATTAGCATAATAAATTTTCATGCTTAACACCATTGATTGTTCTTGCATCCAGTTTCTTTTCTTGTGGATTGTATATTCTTACTTCTGTCTAACAACCCTAAACATGCAAGTGTCTCAAACTGGGTTTTCTCTTGTCCATAACTTAAAAGGAGTCTTTGAACAACTTTATTAGGAGCACTGTTCAACAAATACATGACAATCTTCAAAGCATACATCCATAAGGATATAGGTAAACATATATTTGTGTATTGAGCACAAATACCACATTTCTAAAGGAACTTAGTAAACAGACTAGGGTGTTGCCCACTTTCATCATATATTTCATAATACTCACCACCTTTATCTGACCTAACAATTTTCACCTTTCTATCTAATTACCTCTCCACTTCATTTATATAAACTTCCAAAGTATTCACTACTTGAGATTTCTCATGTAGTAAATAAACATGTTCATGATGTGAAAAATCGTCAATAAAGGTGATGAAATACTTCTCTTTATTGAAAGAATTCATATCAAATGGACCACATATATCAGTGTAGATGATTTCAAGAAGTTGAGTGTTTCTTGTGACTCTTTTCTTTGTGTGTTTTGTTTGTTTGCCTTTAATACAATCCACACACACATTCAGATCAATAAAATCTAAATCCAAAAGGATTTCATTCTTTACTAATCTTTGTATTCTTTCTTTGGAAATGTGTCCCAAATGCTTATGCCACAAGTAATTCATCCACCAAACTACGTTTAGTACCAAAATTATGATGCAAGGTCATACAAATATACTTAAATAAATTGAAACATACATTCCCAAACTTAAAAGAGTATCTAGCAATATCAAACTTACACAAAGAAACCAAATTCTTAGTGATACTAGGTAAATAAAAAGTATCTATCAAGAATCAAATGATAAGTCCCGATAGCTTCCACCGAAACCTTCACTCTATTCCCCATGAAGATGAACTTCTCATTTGGGTTTATGGTTCAGGTTAGAAGGAATTCGTACATCACATTAGAAACATGACTCGTACATCCAAAATTAATCCACAAAATATTATGAGGAGCTTCAGTTAAGTTTGATTCAAAATATACATAAACATTATTCTCACCTTTCTTTTCGAATCAAGCTTTACGCTTTAGGCAGTCCTTTGGAAATGTCCATACTTCCCACAAAAATGATAATTTATCATTTTTCTTCTGGATTTTATTAGAGGATTCATTAATCTTTATTGGTCATTTACCCTTTTCATGTTTCTTAAGAACTTTGTTTTCAACTTCTGGATTTCTACATAATGAACAGAGTGACTTCCTAAGTTCTTGATTCTGGTTTCCTCCTGAACTAACACGTTGTACAGTTCATGCACATTCCATTTGTTTATCATGGTATTATAGTTCATCTGAAACAGACTATACTCACACGGTAATAAGTTCAAAATGAATTATACAAGAAAATTTTCATCCACTATCATTCCAAGAACTTAAGTTTTGTTGCAATGTTTGTCATCTCAATGTCCCTATCAATCCAATTAAAAAATCATTTCTATAGGAACGACCAATCACAAAATTTCAATATATTCCTTCTATCAATTTATTCGATTTTATCTATTATTTCATATAGATAAACGATATGTGGATACAGTAGGGAATTTTCTCCTTTTTTCTGTTATTCAAACAAATATTCAATCAAATTAATAAAATAAAAGAGACCTTCATTCAAAAAAAGAAATAAAATGAATTCCATCTAGGAACTTCTGAGTAAAATTTGAATACATTTGATTAGGCTGCATGAAAAATTATTTAACTTCTATTCAGAGTTCGAAAAAAGGTCTTAGAATATTAAAAAAGGTCCGTTGAGCGCCCCACTGTTATGTCATAATAGATTCGAACACTTGCCTCGATTTGACTTTGATATCATAATTGTTCTAGTGAAAAACTAAAGAAATGAAATTAACTAAGATATAAAATACATGAGAGATAGAAGAGAACAAAACTCAATAGAAACATCTCTAAAAAGTTCACTAATTCTGTTTTATGTTGGCTGGTCTCTTTGTATGTGTTGTCCGGAAAGAGGAGGACTCAATGATTATTCGTTCACCGAAACCAGAAGTTAAAATTTTGGTAGATAGGGATCCTATAAAAACTTATTTTGAATAAAGTACGACACGAGTGGGTATATAGGAATCCAAATCTGTCGTTCATGTTATGATCTTCTACATCCTAGGTCTTCCCGTTCTTTCATCTGGCTTATGTTCTTCATGTAGCGTTCAGACTGAATGACTCTATGAAATTACGTCGCTACTTCCACATGGTACGGGTAACGTAGGAGACATCTCTTTTTCCCAGGGGGAATCCTTAGAATTACCACAGCTTAGCTTTCTATTTGCCTCTGACCATCAAATGAAATGTGAATAACCCGCCTTCCCCTGTTTGAAACAAAGGGTGCTTCCGGTTCTGTCGGTGCTTGAAACAATTTTGTCTTCTCCATATTACTATATCTCTAGAGTTAATAATTTGATATGAGGAACTACTTCATGGTGGTCAAGGTACCCATTAATGTCCCAGCAAAGGACTTGTTAGCAGTTTGGAAGCACTCTTCCACAAATTTCATAAATTCTTTTCCATTCTATGTTTTGGGAAGAACAAATTTAATGTTACTTGCTATGCTAACAAACATAAACTTCATGCTAAGTCTGTTTGACCTTTACCAAACTCTATAATGAACTTTCTCTTCATTGCTACTAACATAAGTGATAATAGTTGACTTTTCAACTTGAAAAGGCAAATCAAAATCCAACACACCTAAGTGAAATTGGACTTGTTTAATCCAGTAAAAAAAAATTTAACCTGTTCAAGACTAGAACAAACGTAGCAAGTGAATGCAAAGATATAGAACAAATACTGTAATTAACACATATCTAACATTAATGATTTGAGTCATAAATTTAAATATAAAATACACATTCAAACTCAAACAAAGATTCTATGCAAACTAGTGTTATCCTTTGGGAGATACACTAATACATAAACATAAGAGTGGTGATATTTTGACAACTAGAAACCATACAACCCTTCAAACAACTCACTTTTATTAATATAATAATCTGTAAAATGATTGAATAAAAATAAAAATTAAAACAAAACTATTATTATAATATTAAAAGAGAGTTGTTTATAGGAGTTGTATGGATTTGGGTTGTCAAAGTATCATTTTCCTAAAACATAATGATGTTAATCATATTATAATATTAGTGATAATTAAAATATGCATCAATTAAAATCACATAATACCTTAGGATATATAAATAAAACTAGTGACACACAAAAAATTATCTACTTGTCATACTCATTAATTAGAAGAACAATTAATCAACGGGTGATTTAGAAATACCTTATAATAATGAACTTCAATTATCCCATAAATCAATTATCTATAATTTAGCATCCATTATACTAATTAAAATAAAACTATCATTAATTTAAATTCAAATAACTTAAATAAATATATATACCTTTAATTGTTATTAACCATAAATAGCATTTTCCATTAATTTTTTATAACAATATCAAAACATTAATTAATTGCAAGTATGAACTATATCATGTTAACTACATAATGCAAACCCAATCAAATCATTCAGCATTTCTAATCAAAGCATTTGATTTTGAATCTATTTATGTAAATTATAAATAGGGAGATATTAAACTTGATTAATGAAAGATCCAATAAAAATATGTTTTTCAGTCTCTTTATTCTTCAATATCTTTTTCTTAATCTATCTTTTTATTTTTCTTTCTTCTTCACACTTTCTGATGGTTAACAGTGAGAAAACTCTTGCTTCCTTTATATAGTTAATTTTTATCAAGTTGGTTACCATCATTTTTAGAAGATGACCTCCCATATTATCCATTAAGTTGGATAACTCCCTATACTATCCATTAAGTTTGATAACATGAGTCACATAATTAAATTAATTAATTTATTAATTATAATAGTTATTTCCTTGCTTTGTGTAATAATAATGATCTTTTAAAAGTTTATTCAAAAAATAGTTTATTTAATAAGATATCCATAGCTCACTAATTTTTAGTACGTTTTAATCATTATTTTAAATAATAATGATAAATTTTCGCCATAATTTATAAGTCATATATATATATATATATATATATATATATTACTTTTATCTTTGATATTAAAAAAAATTCTTCTATCTCATTTTATTATAGTTGATAAATTATCATGTATGTCTTTGATAACAATACAATTAAAAAAAGATTAAATACAATTAAAAAAAATATTAAATATGAGTTTGAAGATAATAAATATAATTAATATTTTGAGTATTTAACATGTATTATAAGAAACGGGTAAAAATGTTATACATTTTCATCTCAAAGAACAATTGAATATTAAATATAGAGTAATTATAAAAATATATTATTAAGTAAATTTTAAAGCATGATAAAAAATATTATATATTGATTAAATTAAAATGTGAAAAATAAAAAGAATACGATAAATTAAAATATTAAAGTATATTAAATTTTATCCGAAATATAAAGGAAATATTTTTTTGTTCTAACGGTGAAGTTTATGTAAAAAAAGGAAACATGCACTATATCATGAATCTAGAAAAAACAAATACTTAAATGAACATATTTGAAGCTAGAGAATTAAACAATATTTAGATATTTCAAAACTAAAACTTAAGAATATAACAAAATTTAAAAGAATATCTGGTTATTAGATAAATATTTTTCAGAAAATAATAAAAGATAAGATTTCAAACAGTTTCATCTTGAAGTATATAGAATGAAGACCTCAACGGTCAAAGATAATATACATAATCTTATTAGCCTTTGAGAAAAATATTGTTATATTATTCACTTAGGAAGCTAAAATTTTAGGTAAGAGCGTTTGTTGTTTATATTTTTGAGAAAAAAGTTTAGACAACAATAACTATGAAAGGATAAATACTATGAATTAGTTATAAATATTTGAAGGAGAAATACAAAAAAATGAGATATTTTTTAAATTTATTATGTAATCAATGGTTAATAATTTATGAGTAAGTAAGGAAAGATATATCTTTTTGAATATGGTCTTAATTATGCACATAAATTTCAGACAATTGTTAGTTTCAATCTTGGATGTAGCACTTGCTTTCAAACCACGTCGTCAACAACTCAACTCAACTCAACTCAACTCGGGCGAGTCACATTAGTAGTGTCATTTCATTTCGTAAGTGTTCATGCCATTTCACTTTCCTTCTTCTCTTCAGGTTCTCTCTCTTTCTCCTCCTGCTTCTCCTTCCACGTTAACGTTTTTAACACTTTCTAAACTTTCACAACTCATGTACTTATACTTGTTTATATCGTACATAGATATCAGGTATTGACACCCTTTTGTTTGTTTTTATTTTCCCTCTTACTTGTGTACTTCCGCGCTTTCAACCCTCAGCATTTGACACAAAGGTGAACAAATATTCATCCTTTTTGTTATTATTGTTTATTATCGTTATCTTGTTCAATGTGTATAATAACATATACAAGATTTGGAGGAAGATAGTTCCAAATATTTTTTCTTTTGGGTCCTTAATGTTTCGAATAATTGCCATTATTATGTGGGTGTATTCGATCTTGGTGCAAGTGAATGCACTATTGCACTTGTTTTCTTTCTTCCTCAGTTGCACGTCTCAGAGGGTGGTTGGTTGTTATGCTATGCGTTAATCTGTCAGCGCTTTGTTTATCATATGAACTTGCATACAGGTGGATCTGGCTGGGGTTGATTTTCTTCTTCCTGCTTGGTTATATTGTTTGCCTCAAAGGGTTTTTGTTTTACTCTTTTACCCCAAGAGCATATACATAAATATTGGTCGTTTGTGTGGCGTAATTGTTTTGATTTTTGAGCCTGTGTCGGCTCTGGAGAATGCCAGTTTTGAGAGGTTGACAAATTTTTCTTTTGTGACTAGGTAGGTGGTTGGTGTTGAGGATTTTGATGTTTTGTTGTATTGGCAATTGTTGTGGTTTTGGGCTCAGCCGTTGTTCTGTTTTCATTGGTAGAGAAAAGAAATAGCTTCAGTTATTGGAATGTCTTTGGAATAACTGGTCAATCCCAAAAGTTGCTCTGGTTATTAGTACTCTAGTCTTTCTTTTATGGATAGTATTGTGTTTTTGCTTTTGAAACCAAGGATTTGATAAGTGTAAGTGGTGCTGGTAATTATGAGAGGCTGGTGAGCCACTCTGTACATTACTTTTATGCATAGTTGCATTTTGTAACCCTTGTTTGAAGTATGCTACATGATTATGTTATCTGAGCTACATTTCATTTATAATGATTCTTCTTAAGGTTTGATTTGAGTTTATAGTTATTAGGTTTATCGTCCTGTTTTTTTTTTGGCAGATGGAGTCAATTCTGCAAAATTATGATGATGATTCTGTGGAGCATGAATGTAATACTCATCCAGGTTCACCTGATATAAGTGACGTAAGAGTTGGTGAAGAATACCAGGTGGAGGTCCCCTCCATAATAGAAGAATCAGAATGGCTTCAACTTCTTCTCAATCCTGCTGATTCAGAAATTATGGGTGATAAACCGCTTTCATTTGCAATTGGTTTGCCGATCTCAGTTACATGGATGCATAACGAAGGGCATCTTGCAGACATTGATGGTACAGTCAATGCAATTGAACCTACAGAAGAGATTAATTTACAAAAGAAATAAGACAATGTGGAAGAATTGAAACTGATTTCATTTGATTTGTGATGACAGGAGACAAAACTTCAGGTCAACTGGGTAAAAGCAAAAATTATGTATTGGTCCCTGGCACATTGAGTAATTCCTGGAATGAAGCTGATGCAAAAAGTTTTCTTCTTGGTTTGTTTATTTTTGGGAAGAATTTTATCAAGATAAAAAGATTATTAGAAAACAAAGGGATGGGGGAAATACTGTCGTTTTACTATGGAAAGTTTTACAAATCTGATGAATATCGTAGATGGTCAGACTGCAAGAAGATAAAAGGGAGAAAATGTATTACAGGACAGAAACTTTTTTCTGGGCAGAGGCAACAGGAATTATTATCTCGATTGATTCCCCATGTATCAGAAGAATCTCAAGAAAGTTTGCTGCAGGTATTAAACTATGTCATCTCTATCCGTTGTTGTTAATGAGTTACAAGATGTATATATATTTCAAATGCCTGATGCTTGGCTTACCCTTTATCTCTGCAGTCTAAGATTTCTAAAATTTTCTTTTATTTTCATTAGTCATTTCTCTTAAAAGTTACAATTTTTATTTTTCTTTGTAATTCTAAATTTATCCTTCAAATTAATCTGGTTTTTGTGGTGTGTTGTACATTTAATGATTGTCTGCTTTCATAGTTAGTTTATCAAGTAGGGGAATCGAAACTATTAGCATCACAGGTTTCAATATCTTTTGGAAGTTCCTAATTTATTCTGTTTGTGAGCTACAAATAATACTTCAGATTGTTTCTCCTTAGTCAATTTGATGTTGGAAAGTAAAAAGCTTTACTATTGACAAAGTATCTTCATTAATGACACATTATTTAGGAGATGCCATAGTGTCTAAGTTGGAATTTCTGATGGAATTATTGATACTATGCTATTGTGGTCATGTGTTGTACCCGTGATTATTTGAACTTGTGTTCAATGGAAATTACTTTTATCACTACAGTTTTATCATTTATTTGCTGCACACTCTCATTGGTTTTGCCTATACATTCAGGTTTCTCAGTCATATGTGGAAGGAAGAGTTTCTCTAGAAGAATACATTTTATCTATGAAGTCTACTGTTGGACTTGGTGTTCTTGTGGAAGCAGTAGGTATTGGAAAGGAAAAGGAAGACCTTACAAGCCTTGATGTGGAACTTGGGAAGAACAATTGGCTGTTTTCAGCACCAACTAGTAAAGCTTGGTCTTCTCTTGCACCTAGCGATATAATAAAATATTTGACTGGTGGATTGCGACTGAGCAAAGCCAAAAGTAATGATCTCTTCTGGGAAGCTGTTTGGCCCCGTTTACTGGCAAGAGGTTGGCACTCTGAGCAACCACAGCATCAAAGCTATGTCCGCTCCAAAGATTACCTGGTTTTTCTTATCCCTGGAGTTAAGAAGTTTTCAAGGAGAAAACTTGTGAAAGGTGATCATTACTTTGATTCTGTTAGTGATGTCTTGAACAAAGTAGTAGCTGAACCTAATCTTCTTGAGTTTGAAGAAGAAACTAAAGTTGGTAGCAGCAATGATGAAGAGCCAGAAAAAGGATCGAATAAGGATGATCAATATAATTATCATCGTCAATGTTACCTCAAGCCCCGAGCTTCTACCACCGATCATATAAAATTCATGGTTATTGATACTAGTTTGATGCACAAAGGGAAATCATCTGATATAATGGAGTATAAATCTGCACCTTTTAAGTCAGCTGGTAAAATTGAGGTAACTGCTGCTGGTATTACAAATAAAGGGGCCAAACAAATGAGGAAAGTAAATCATAACAATGATCTGTCTGAAAACGTGAATAAAAAGTTGACAAAGTTCACAGTTGTTGATACCAGTATGCTCTATGAAGGAAAATTATTGAAGGTGAGAGAACTGAGATGTCTTCCCTTTGAATTAGAATGTCCTTCTAAGATGACTGTTTTCTCAAGAGAAATTAAGGATAGGTCTTCTGGTGAAGATTCACCAAGCATGATGACATTCGACAAAAAGAATATTAGCAAAACTGATAGCCAAAAAGGCATATCTGAGAATGATGCCACCAACCAAAAAGAAGCAAATCATAAGCCAGATAATAATGCAAACAAGATCGTAGAAAGCCAGAAAAATCAGAAGACCTGTGTGCCTAATGATAATCAACTAAAGAGTACCATAAAACATCAGTTCAGTCGGAGGGCAAGATCAGATCATTGTAACCAATCTGTTCTTCCCATTAAAAGGAGAAGATTGACTGCTTGTGCCAAGGCAGAGACAAGCCGCGCCATTGAGAATTCTTCAGGAGGCGTGGAATCTGAAAATTTGGCCTTTTCTCAGTCATCAATCTTTCCAGAGTCCAACCAAAATGTTAGTGATTCAGTTAGCCTTCAGCTGAATGGAAGTTCAATTACTTCTCCAACTAATAGAAGTGTGGAAGTGAATAACGAGGAAACCATTCTCAATGAAATTTGTCAACAAAGGAGTAGTTCTTGTGTTAATGTTGAGGAATATGAATCACAGTCGCCAGCCACCTTGAACACACCACAGGTTTCATTGCATTCTATAGACAGTGAAATGATGGCGACAGGGAAGGAAGGCAGGCAGTGCCTAAAGGCAAATGATTCATGTTTGTCATATGATACTCAGGGGGTAGTTGAGAAACCACAAAGAACCTCTTGTGATGTTGGTTCTATGGAACAGCAGCCTCATACAAATCCTAGGAGACAGAGTACAAGAAATCGACCATTGACAGTTAAAGCATTGGAGTCTCTAGAAAATGAATTCTTGCACGTGCAAAGGAAACAGAAAAAGAAAGATATCCTGCCACATATAGATGCTTTCAGCCCTTGCCGCAGGGCTCGTACAAGAGGCAAAACAAATCTGCATCGTCGCAATTCGGATCATGGCACTGCAGTTGTGAAAGAAAAGCATTTGAATGGGGATGACACAATGGAGGCTATGGAGTTGGTGATTTCCAAGCCACTAAATTAAATTTGAGAGCAGAATTTCCTGTACTAGTATCATGGAAGCCACCAGTCATCATGGATGTTTCGTTTTCAGACAAAAAAAAAAGGAATTTTGAAAGTACTGATGTGTCTCCTGCCTGACATGCAAATTATGTTCCAAAGGTGTTAGTGATTGGACATACTGTACAGAATTTTGCCATACTTACAGAGAATGTTAGTGAGATAGCGTTTTGTTTTAAAACCATTGTTTGTGTTCTTATCTTTTGGAATGTTGAACATGAAACCAAGGAAATCATTTTAAGTTCGGAGACTCTCTTACAACATTACAAATAAATTTGATATACTAAATCAAAGTAAAAACCTCTTAGATATGCATAGGGTGGTTCTGTATGGATTGAACTTTTCTGTTGAAAACAAAGTAATTTGGGGTCCATCACACACTTACCTTTAGTTGTGAACTCTGCACTGATTGTGTAGTCAGTACCTATAGTTGTTCTTGTAAACAATATGACTGGTTTGAAAAAGATTTTTAACATATCAATTCTGCTTCTTATAAAGTTTAACTCATTTTTTTTTCTAATCTTTGGAGCGGTTAAGTCATTTAATCACCACCTTATAACATAATACATTTCAAATTCAATGAAATAAAAAATAAATTTTATACATTTATTGAAAAATAAATAATTTTTAATATAATTTAATATTTTCAGTAAAACATTAATTTCTTTTATTACTATTTCTTTCACTCATCTTAGTTTTTTTTTTAATTCAATTTTAATGTTCACTTGGAACTTCATTTTTTTTAAGATTAGCCAATATATTTTTCTATTTTTTTACATTCAACTATTTGGATTGAAATAAAAAAAAGTCCACACCGATTTCATATTCAAAATTTGTTCACATAGAGAGTTGTTCTTCAGAATTTGAAGGAGTCTTTGTCCAACTAGGTGTGGAACTACTAGAAGTAATAACCTCATCTTTCTTGACTTCGTCCTTCCAACTTAAAGATCCAAAGTTGGTAGAAATTTTCTCAGTCACTTCTTTTCTTTTGAGTTGTTGCTCCACTCGAATTGCTTTATGAAGTAAATCCTCCATATCAACAAACTCCTACAACTCAACAATATTAAGTATATCAATATTCAAACCACCAATAAATCGGGCCATAATTACCTCTTTATATTCTTCAATCTTTGCTTGAATCATGAGCATGTCCATTTCGTTGAAATACTCCCCAACCTCCTTGTTGCCTTGAGTAAGTTTTTGGAGTTGAAATTTCAAGTACCTTGAATAACTAGCCGACACATATCGCTTCCTCATGATCCTTTTCACCTTAATCTATGTATCAACCATTGACTCTTCATTTCTACCTCTCTCCTTTTGTAGCTTGTTCCACTAAACAAGAGCATAGTAAAAAAATTTCGTGATTGCAAGCCTCACCTTTTGGGTCTCCTCATAATTGTTGCAAGAGAAATATGCTCTATTTTCATCTCCCACTCCAAGTATGTCTTTGGATCACTTTTTCCTTTGAATGGATGAATGTTAAGCTTGACTCCTTCAAGCCTACTTAGTCTTGCTACTCCATTATTCCTTCTCTTATTTCTCCTTTCTTCTTCATCTTCGGGATCTCTATTCTCCAATCGGTTCAATCTTTCATGGAGCTCATTGTTATGTCGTATCATTAATCCTTTCAAATGTTATACCAATGTCCTCATTTGAAATAGACTAATTCCTGCTTCTTGATTGTAATTTTCCTCCTCTGCCATCAATTTGATGTTCAAACCCTTAAATCGGGGCTCTGATGCCAACTGATATGAATCTCAATAGCACAAAAGATTATTTAAGATCTTTAGGGTTATAACCTTGTAGGAAATTTAGGAATTTAGTGATAAGGTGGAAGGAAAGAATCATTCTTCCCAAGGGAGGCAACTCACAAAGGATGTGAAAGTCTTTTGATACAGCCAAATGTTCTTGAATAAAGGAAAATAAATGCTAATAATGATTCATTAACCTAGGAATTGAAAGCTACTTAATAGAGACAAATAAAAGCTAGTAATCATCCATTAACTTAGGAATTGATAATACTTAATGACTGATTGTAACTAAAATTGTGGCAACCAAAAGTCAATTAGCTATGCACCCTCTTAGTCTCCCAAAGACTGATGACTAAGTTTTCAATTGGGATCTTATTACAACTTGTAATAAAACCAAACTAAAGTTCATTAATTGATTAATCTAAAACACAATTTGGTCAACCAACAATACTTGTTGAATAGCTTCCTTTGTTTTCCTTGCTCTAGCCCTATAGGTCATGTCCACATCAAGTGAGTTCATCTCCTCTTATATGGCTAACTCCCACTGAGTTGTATCATCCATCTGTAATGTATCATGATAACACAAAGGTTCATCATCATCAATCAACAAGTAATTTGCTCAAGGAGAAAATCTGTGAGGGGCGTAATAAATCTACTAGACCTCCTCACTTCAACTGTTGGGGTGACAGGAGTGGTCTCCTCAATAGTTTTATCTCCTGAACCCCACCTTTTCCTTCTCTATTGGTTTCTTTTCATATTCAGCTTTTGTCTCAAGTATGTTGTTATACACTACATTTTCATTAAATGTAACATCTCTACTTCTAATGATCTTTTTGTTTTGATTATCCTAGAAGCAATATCCCATATCATCTGCTCCATAGTTAATGAAAATGCACTTTCTTGCTTTAGGATCAAGCTTATCCTTGTCAACATCTTTAACACCGAACATAAGAAACACAACCAAATACTTTCAAATGAGAAAGTCTTACATCCTTGCCTTGTCATTCCTCCTCGAGAATCTTGAATCCTCTGGGAACTGAGGCTCCTTGATTAATGAGGTATGTTGTTGTGCTTATTGTTTCTGCTCATAATGCCTTTGGTAACCCTGCATGAATTCTCATACTCTTTGCCCTCTCATTCAAGGTCCTATTTATTCTTTCAGCAATACCATTATGCTAAGGTGTCTCACAAATAATTTTAAGCATTTAAATTTCATTCTCAACACAATAATCAACAAATTCAGTATTACTATATTCACCACCATTATTAGACTTTAAACATTTAATTTTTAATTATGTCTCATTCTCAATAATGACTTTCTACTTCTTAAATGTATTGAATACTTTTGATTTTTTTCTTAAAAAAATAAACTTATATCTTTCCAATGGAATCATTAATGAAGGTGACATAGTATCGTAATCTTCCAAATGATAACACTCAGTGGCAGATCTTGACCATTAATCTTGAGGGAGCCAAATAATATATTATTAATAAATAATAAATAAATATAAAAGGAAGAAAGAAGATGCAAGTGTGAAATGATAAAATTGTAGATATATACTTAAATATATTAAATGATCATTAAGTTTAACGGGACACAATAATAAATTATAAGAGAGTTACAAAACTGAGGAGGGGCTGAGAGGATAGAATTGTAAATATACAGGTAAATACATTAAATGATCATTAATTTTGGGGGGGCCAAAATCATAAATTACATGGGAATTAAAAAACTTTGGGGGGGGGAGGGGCACGAACCCCTTCAGCTCCCAAGAAAATCCGCCACTGACACTGATGTTGACCAATACACATCTGTACGAATAAGTTTAAACTTCTCTACCTTGGACATCCTCCCTAACTTAGCAAAAGTAACTTTCTTCTGCTTCTCAAACACACATGGTTCACAAAAACCAACTTCTACTTTTTTCAATTTTGGAATCTTTCTCTTTATGACTAGTATCCTCATACCCTTCTCACTCATGTGACCAAGTCTTTGGTGCCACAAAGTCGAAGGATGACCAATATTATCACTAATTGAATTTATTTCTTCAGCAGATAATTCTGCAACAATTAGATTACCCTTTTACCATCTTTCATTAGCCTTATTCGGATATGACTCGATATCCTTGAACATCCAACATTTATATCTGACATCCTTTAGTGTCCAAATTATACCAGTAGAAGTCTTAAGATTTATATCTCTTATGCCTACAATGTCTAAAGTTTCATCATCTGCTAGACGAACTTTTCCAAAATTCTCACTTTTGAATTTTTTCATCAAGTCCTTACAAAGAGAAACATGGAAAGATGCACTAGAATCCATGATCCAGGATTCAAACTTGCTCTCGACACAACAGATCAACATATCATCAATGTCTTATTATGTTGCATTCACTGTATTATCATGTCTCTTTTCTTTAGGAGCAATACATTGGTTTCTAAAATGATTATTCTACTGAAAATTCCAACAAGTAATATCCTTGCGAGATTTGGACTGTCATCGCTTCTTGGACTTTGATCTACCACGCCCATGACCTTGCCCTCTTTCAGACTTTCTACCTCTACCTTCGATGCTTAATAAGAAACTTGTTAATTTTCCAGTGTTCCTTCTGCGAACATCCTCATTAAGGATTAAATTCCTAATTCCTTCAAAAGTTAATTTCGTAGTCACATATGTACTGGTTACTGTCGTGACAGTTCCTGTCCAACTATCAAGCAACGAAGATAACAGCAACAAGATTTGTATTTCATCATTAAATTTAATATCCCTTGTCATTAATCTTGACAATAAAGAATTAAATTCATTAACATGATCTGTAACACTAGAACCTTCTCGCATCTTCGTAGTAACTAACTGTCGAATCAAAAATACATTGTCTGATGGCTTATTGTACATGTTTGATAATGCTTTTATCAAACCATATGTCGTCTTCTTGTTGTAGACTCGTCAATATTAATCTGACGACGTCCAAAGTGTGTCGATCTAGCAACTCTCAATCTGTCTAAAATATCATTTTTATTCTCGAACAAATGTTGGTGCAACTTTTTTTAATATAGTTAATCTTCACTCTCCTATCTTCTGCCATTGCTTCCACTCGTGTGATATCCTAAGCTCGATACTAGTTGTTGGGAGAACAAAAAAATGAAAGTAAATAACAATAATATAGAAAATTTATGTGGTTAAGTCAAAATGACCTATGTCCACTACGACTAC